TCAGGAAAGTGGTGCTCAACTCAATGAAAGGAATTACTATATTTATATTAGTTACTTTTCCATTGCTGTTTAAAGACACTGACCAAAGTAATCTATAGAAGGAAGATTTATTTGAGCTTACGATTCCAGAGAAATTACAGGCTGGGAGGCATGTTGGCAGGAGGTGGCTGGAGCAGGAGCAGCAGAAGCTAAGCCCTCACATCTTCAAGCAGGCACAGGAAGCAAGAGAGGGACTGGAGATCTGGCAAGGTTTAAGAACTCTTTCATCCTGCCCCCGTGACATGCTTCCTCCAGCATAGCCACACCTTCTAAGATCTCCCCAAAGAGTGCCACCAACTGGGGACAAAACGTCCAAATACTTGGAGCCTATGGGAGATATTCTCATTCAAACCATCACAACGTGCTCCCTAAGTTCCCACAACAATGTACATTTCTTACATTGTGATGTTGACACAATTCATGAATTATTCATTTTCATTGTAATCATTGTTCTAGGGTGTATGCAATTATCTGAGCAATGCTTCATCAGTTCTGAAACTAACAAAGTCACTCTGATGCATGTTTTCTGTTATTAAAATAAAAATGCAGCATGCCCATAACACAAAGAGGATTCTTTTCTCTCTGGTTTGAACAAGTTTACTGGGAAAGTACAGCATGAAAAAGAAATTATAATCATATTTAGAATTTCTTGTGTTAATGAAGCAGATTTTTAAAAAACATTTTATTTATTTTTCTTTCTTTCATGTATATGGTGGGTACACCTGTGTTGTGCAATGCCACAGAGGTCAGAAGAGGGCTTCAGATTTCCCTGGAACTGGAGTTAAGGACGATTCATAGCTGCCATGTGGATGCTGGGAATCAAACCCAGGTCCTCTGCAAGAGCAGTCAGTGCTCTTAACTGCTGAGCCATCTCTCCAGCCCCATGAATAAAGCAGTTTTTTAATGACCAAACACTATTTTTACTCTCCCACTTGAGAGCTGGAGTCTATCTCTTGTTTTCTTGGTTCTGGACAGCTCTGTGACCACTGGTGCCTCTTAGAAAGCCTCTGTTTTGGGAAACTGGTAACCTCTACTTCTTGTCTCTTAACATCCTTGCTGAGATGATCTCATTTGAAAAGGCACATGTGGACACCCTAGTCCTGTTAGTTAAGTTCAACTTCCTATCTATCACCACCGAGTCACCATGCATGGCCATAAACCATCTTGCACCCTCCAGGCAAACCATGACCAATGAATACTACTAAGTGACTTCATTATATACAACTTAGAATCACCCTGCCAGATTTTCCCCAGTTCCTCTCTACCAAATCATGAGATAAGGTAAAATAATTTGTTTTCATTAAGTTTTGAGGAGATTTATTGGAAGGTATTCTGTATGCTATAGGAAGTCAAAAGTAATCATCAGTATTACCCAGCTGTGAACCTTATGAACTACAATAACAAATGGCCTAGCAAGGTATAACCACCAGTGTAATAGTGGCATGAATGCTGTGGAAGTAACCAACCACCTTCTTATTCAATTTAAGGCCTGCTTCACAAGATGGAGCTCATATCTGACACTCTTATCAGGGACAAAAACCTGGGGCTAGACAGGTCACAGGCTCTAGAGGAGAACCTACTGCCGGTGCCAGCTGGCCAAGACAGACAGTACCTGAAAGGGGGAGTGAGGATTGAAAGAAAAAACAAGAGACGGAAAAGATACTTGAGAGGACTGTCAGTAGAGACTGCAGCCCTGATTTATTTTAGCTCTGCCTTTTCATACAGAAGAACATCAGAGATCTTAACTCAATTAATTTCAACAGCTGTTTTCTGAGGGTCAAGGAGAGGTCAGATACTTGTTTTGTGAGCTCCACCATATAAACACATTCCTCCTGATTTGGCAGATTAGGTAGTGGTATGCAAAACACAAACTCAGTAAACAGCCTGCCACAGCTCAATGTACATAATGGATTAATAGCTCCCAACAACCTACTACTATTATTCTGCTAAGTGGACATAGTATGAAAGCAATGTCTAATGACTATTGTTATACCCATAGATTAGTGCATCTCTCAACTCTCACCAGAGAAGCTTCTTCCTACAGCAGATGGATATTGACACAAAGACTCACAACAGGTCAACATACCAAAAATAAGAAACTAAGGAGATCTATAATATTTTAAGATATTGCCAAAGCACTTATTTAGCAATCTCAAGGCAAATGGACTGAATGATGCTTTGCTTTGCTTTAAGGAAATGCCCAGTGTTTCTGAACTTTACCTGCTCTTCTTGAGAAAACTATATGGATATATATTTTCTTGTTCCACAGCAGCCACCACATATCACAAGATAGTTAACATGTTCTCCCAAGCATAATAGGCCCTGCAATTCCTGTATCTCTTCCTGTCAAAATATGGTTTTCTGGTTCTTTCCCCCTCTGCTCTACAACCAGATTTAGTAAGATACTATTAGGGACAAGCCAAAGACAAGAGCAAGTCTTGGTATGAAGGCTGACCACCCTCCTTCACAAAAGCATAGGAAAGGACCTTCGCATCAAGAGCCTTAAAGAGATATTAGATCCTCTGCCACCCCCACAAACCCAGTTCCTCCAAGAACTGAAGTACTAGACACTGGACAAATATTCTGCTGATGAACCTCTGTTTCAATCTCTCATTGGGCATTCAAAACATGGCTTGGAATTGAAAGGGTTTCAATTCAGATTTTCTTCATATTTTGGAATATAAATAGTGAGAAATTTTGAGATGAGACCCAAATCCAAAGACAAAATTCATTTATGTTTCATATATATCTTATATACATAGACTGGAAGAAATGTTAAATGATATTTTTAATAAATTTGTGTTTAAAACAATTTTGGAGTTTGGGGGTTATTGCTATTATTATGTGTTTGTTTTCTTTTCTCTCTTTTGTATTAGTTTTGGGATCAAACCCAGGGTTTGCACATACAAAGCACATACTCCACCACTGAGATATACCCTAAGCCCATAAAGAAAAGTTTCATGGTATAGAATTTTCCATTGCGATGTCATGTCAACAAAATGTTTTGGATTTTATAGGATTTCATATTTAATGTTTTTAATCATTAAAGATATTCCACCTGTATCTAAACTCAACAATCTCTAGAATAGGGAGGCCTGATAATGGTCTTAAATCAGGAGCTTCTGGAAAAGATGGCTCAGAATCAAGCCATGAGTGTAGGAAGCCAATCACACTCTTGCCTTGATGGACCCAGTAACCCAAGAGTCTTGCCCTCTGGGACAGTGTCCTTAGAGTTCACTGGTGGTCACAATGGGAAAACAGGCCCTTACCAAGACTCTGTCCACTAGGCCTTTATTCTGTAACTGGGCTCACAGTTCTGCAGAATTTCACCAGACTGCTGTCCATGACCCATGGTCATAGGTCCCTGTCTGGTGATGTCCCCATGGTCACTGGGATTCTGCACAACCCTCAGGAA